CGGGGGGGGGGGGTCCAGGTGAGGGAGTCTCACCTTGAACCTGAGCAGGACCCCAGGAGGGAGGACTTGAGTGTGTGCACATAGTCACGGGGCCCTTGTATGGGAGCCGATGCCACCCTGCTGGCCGGCCCCATCCCCGTCCCATGTCCTTAGTGTGACCCGTGGCAGGTTTGCAAGTCAGACCACATCACAGCTCTAGGAACGGCAGGGACACAGGACTCGGTCCCACAAGAGGGGGAAACTCAGGATTTGGTCCTGCAAGAAGGGGGACTTTGGGACCAGCCCCACAAGAGGGGGGACCTCAGGACTCAGCCCCTCTTGCTCTCGGGCTGCTGGTACCACGCGCAGACAGGCCCGGGCCGTACTGCATGGACCGACTCCCGCAGAACCTTTAGGAAGCCCAGCGTAAAGACCCATGGCTGCCAGGCCAGGGCCTGGTGCTGTGCCGATGCCCGGACTCAAAGCCCCCATCCATGTGGCATCGCGAGAGGAGGCGAGGCCAAGGTGCCTCCCACCCAGCCTCATGCGGGGACCGCTGGAATTACAGCACAGACCTCCCGTCCACCTGACTGGCAGAGCCCCATGCCTAGCCCCGGACAGTGCCTGAGAGCGTCCAGGCACACTCTGGTGCAGTCCAGCACTGAGCCCTCCCTGTTGCCTGGAGGACACAGCAGCTTCTCCTGTGGGGGCTGGGTCACAGCCAGCGGCACCCAGACGCACAAGCCGGGGACAGACAAGCACACATTACCTGGCACTGTGGGTGGCCTACGTGGAGCGCCCCCGCCGTTTCCACGCTGGGCAGCGTGGCCTCCAGGGCGTGTCTGTGTAACAGGCTTGGATCCAAGCACTTGGCAGACTGGGCGTGGGTAGAACTGGCTCCTGGGGCCGCTTTGTCCATGTTCTGACAGTGACACGCAGGGAGCGCCATCTCCCCACTGAGCTGGGCATGGGTGGGACTGCTGGCACCTCTGCCCGGGGCTGGCCTCGGAAGGGTCACCCGCAGGGTAGAGGGGCGCTCCTGGGCCTCCTTCCTTCTGGGGTCTCGCTGCAGGGTGCACTGCGGGGGGCCCAGGATGGGGTCCAGCAGGACCCGGGGGCACCGTGCTGGCCGTGGCCAGGTGTCCGAGAGCGGGGCTGGGGTGCTGGGGCTGCAGACGGGTGGCGTGGGCTGCCTGGCCTTGCCCACGCCGGTGCCTTGCACACCGAGGTTGGGCCCGCTGAACGGTGGAGGGTCCACTGTGGGCTGTGGGGGACAACGGAGTGTGGGCGTGGGCCGCTCTGGGGTGGGCCCATGCCCACCGGCTCAGGGATGAATGCCCGGGGTCCCATGCAGCCCCCAGGACCCCCACGCCTGGAGACCCCCCAGGGAACCAAGGCTCTCTGAGGCTGGGGCGCCTGGCTGGTCCCACACCCAGGACCCGAGAGGCCCTTTCCTGACTCCAAAGACAGGTGTCGGCTGCCCTTCCCAGTAGCCCACCACCCTAGCTCCCTCTGCCCGGAATGCTCCGCAGTCCCTGGCGAGGGCCCAGCCCACACCCGAGCCACCACCCACCCTGCAGGTCCCAGGGAGGCGGCGGCTGCACAGGCCCTGGAGGCAGCGAGGAGGGAGGCACCCAGGCCCAGGCAAGAAGCTGCCGGGGGGCCTGGAGGCGGCGAGGTGTCCCGCTCACATGGGCCACAGGAATTGGGGGCGCCAGGGATGCGAAGCAGGCGGTGGGACTGAGGCCTCCAGCTGGGGGAGCGGACAGCCGCCCTTTCCCAAGTCCAGCCGAGGTGCTGGCCTGCCCAGCCCGGAACGCGGCCAGCGGGTGGGGGCAGCTCCGTCCCCCAGGGGCCCCGGCAGGTGCGCCCACCTGTCTCCACAGGAGCTCGAAGTTGCCAACGTCACAGGCGTGGTCCAGCTTGCGGTCCAGCACCACCTTGAGGGTGTCCTCCTGCACCTGCGCGCAGAGCTGGGCCGTGACGGGCGTGGACGGACGCATGGTGGGCCCGGAGTTGATCTCAATCAGCCAGGGCCGCAGGTCTCTGCCCAGGACGAAGTCAGCGCCGAACAGCTCGAAGCTGTTCTTGCGGGGCTCCACGTGGTCCTGGGCCACGCGCATGGCGTGGGCCACAGCCCGCTTCATGGCAGGGTAGACGAGGCGACCCCACGCGGCCCCGCAGCCCCGCGTCTGCAGATACTGGCAGAAGCGGGTGCTGGTCCACATGTTGTGGCCGGGCAGCAGGGGGCTGCGGTCCTGGTCGTGGCGGAGGCCCCTCTGGATGGAGTGGTTGCACAGGTGGACGGCACTGCGGGCAACGCTCGGGTGAGGCCGCCCTGCCAGGCAGCCCATGCCTGCATGTGGGGCCGTCCCTGCTGGCTCCCCACCCCGGAGCCTGGTCCCCGAGCACAGCGCTTCCTGCCCCGCCCAGCTGTGTGGTCCCGGACAGAGGGGCAGCCCTGGTCCAGCCTGGGAACAGCACACACTGCCCCGGCAGGGCAGCGGCCCAGCAGCCCAGGGCCCCCAATGGGGGACCGCTGGCTGGTAACAGCCTCCCTGCCTCCGTTTCCCCTTCTGCAAATGGCAGGAGGGATGCCGGCCCTCGAGGGCTGCCCTGGTGAGGAGAGGTGAGAAAGGTTCGCCGAGTTAAAGCGTTCAGTTAACGCATCAGTGCTCCTGCCTAATCGAAACAGGATTTAAAGTGACTGACATCTTTCAGGAGAGGGTGAAGCCCCACGAGGGCCAGGGGCATTCCGTCCAAGTTGCAGGCATGGAGGGCGGCCTGCCGGGTGGGATTTCCACCTACCCTGCAGCCGCGCGTAAGTGATACTTCCACAGAAGCCGTGGAAAGGAAAGTGATACAGGCACACCGAGGGGACTTTTGGAAATTAGAAAGGCTGTGATGTGGCTGCGGACCCCAGTGCTGGCCTTCACTGTCTTCAGTTCTTGGCACGTGCCAGGCTGGGCCAAGCTCACACAGGTGCGATTCTGGGAAATCCCGTCACCTGGGCAAGGGCTGCGGTCCCAGATGGAGAAACAGGGCTCAGAGAGGGCACAGGCTTATGGAGAAACAGGGCTCAGAGCGGGCACGGGCTTTGCCAGGTGCACTGCTCATGGCCGGTGGGGCCAGGAATGGGGGAGGGGGCATCCCTGGGCCCCACACCACTCAGAGCACCTTTGCACAGGTGAGTTCCCAGACCCCACCTCCAGGTCCGCTCTACCTGAGGCAGCCAGCAGGGAGAGGCCGAAGCCCCAGCCGCCCCCCAGGACCTGGTCCAGGTGGGACCCCGGTGCGACCTCCCCAGGCAGGACTCCAGAGTTAAGCCCCCTCAGGTCTCCGTGGAGCGACTCTTGGCCCTCCCTGGATTCTGGCTGATTCCTCTGCCAACCCCTGCTCTCATAAGACGTCTAGGCCGCCAGCCCCTCGCGTGGGGGTTGGTCACAAAACAGCCAGAGGACGCCTCGGTTCAGGGAAGCTGGCAGAGCTTCTCGTGTGGATGGCCAGGGTCCTCACGTGGGCAGGACGGGGAGCCTGTCTGAGCCCTCAGAAACATGCCGTCCACGAGAGACGCTCCGCCAGCCTCCCTGCCCAGGGCAGCCCTTTCCTGGACGTAGGCTGCCCTGGCGCCCCACACTGTCCCAGCACCCACAGGCACGCGGCAAAGGGTGCCTTGGCAGAAAAGGATCCTGGGCAGAAGATACATGCATCGTGGGGTTGAGCTGGTTCTGAAAGTCAGTGGGCCTAGGCCTGGGCCGTGGGCAGGTTCTGACCTGCCAGGCCTCAGTCACCCCATCTGTGCCTCTTGTGGTGGTGGGTGGCAGTGCGGGCCTGCCAGGGTGCTGTGGGGTGGCCACGCGGCCTCACGCTCAGTGTCACCCTCCCTCCTCACTGACCCATCCAGGTTGTCTAGGGAGAAGCGCTGAGTTGAGAAGCGCAGGTAGCTGTCCTTGTAGAACCAGACGGTCAGGGGGTTCCAGTCGGTGACCAGGAACCACTGTCGGATGTCGAACTTGGTGTCGCAGATGAGCAGCGGTGTCTCAATGTACTTTTGGACCACCCACTTGTCCCCGGGGGGAGCGTGGTCTGCAGCCGCCAGCCCCAAGATGTCCTCCACATGGTTCATGCACACAATGTCTGCAAGAGGCCACCATCAGCCTGGTGGGCACAGCCACCATGCAGGGCCCAAGCTCCCGGGCTCTGGACCCACTCTGGCTCCCACCAGGACCAGGAGAGTACGTGGGGGGGCAGGGGACCTTTGTGCTCCAGGGACCAGGCTGCCGCCACTGGGCCAGCCCCAGGGCTCCAGGGGACACAGACCAATGAAGGCACAGGAACAGGGACAGAGGCACTTTCGGATGGGAGCCAGCAAGCCCTCAGCCATGCTCTGGATGTGGCATGAACAAGAGGTGGAGGGACACTGACATTCACCCCATCTGGTCCTCCCTGCCTGTGCAGGTGGGTCTCCCATCCTCATGCCCAGAGTTAGGCCACATGTGGAGACCAGTGGCACACGAGCAGAAGAATCTGTGTCACTCTGAGCTGATATATTTCACGCCAGCCTACCTTTTCTCTGTGGTGACAGCCCTGAAATCCTAGGGGACTGGGGTTGTAAGATGAGAGACTTTGCTGGGCAGAGCACCCCCTTTTATCTGCCCATGCTGCCCCACAATAGTCAACAAGAATGCACAAGAGATTCGCTGCTTTTGCTGAAAGCCACTGAGAGTTTGGGTGCTATTTGTTACGTGGCACTGTCTGGTCTATTCTGACTGATACAGGGTGGAAGGGAGCACTATCTCTGGAGGTAAAGGTAGAACAAGGCACAGTTGCTCTAGACTTTTGCTTCTTCAGTCTTAGTGAGTGGAGGCCCTGCTGTCCTGAAATGAAAGCTTTGGACACAGGAATAAGCCACAGAAGCTATGCTGGGCCAACACCCGGCCGGCCAAGAGCAGGAAAGGGCACAATCAGTGGCCAGCAGTGAGAGGCCATTTGGTTTTGACCCAGTGGGTTTGGGGTGTCCATGGGGTGTCCCTGGACATGCCGGTGTCTTCAGTGGGAGGAAAGTCTGGCCTGATGGATGGGGGGAGACAGACGCTGCTCAGGAAGGAGAGCGGGCTCAGGGCAGGGCTAGAGGAGGAGTTTGCTGTGCGTGGCCAGGCAGGGCGGATACTCCTGGGAGAACAGAGGCTAGCCCTGAAAATCTGCAAGGCATCAGGGGAATGTGGGCTGCACAGGCCCCAAAGAGAGAATCTTTCAGGACAGATGATGTTTGGGTCTCACGGCACTAAAATAATAACGATTACAGTTTTTAAAAAAACATAAAAATTAACCACTTGTGAATTTTTATGAAAGAAACAAAACAAAACTCTCTTCAAAATAACTCAGGAGGCAACAGAATAGCAAAAGTAAAAGTGTGTTTAGATACTAAGAAAAATGAGAACAGCAGATGTAACATAAGCAAGAGGGATGCAGCTGAGCCTCAACTGAGCCCGGCTTGTTTATTTGTTTTTAAAAGGACACACAGGAGCCGGGCTCGGTGGCTCAGCCTGTAATCCCACACCTTTGGGAGGCCGAGGTGAGTGGATTGCCTGAGCCCACGGGTTCAAGACCCGCTTGGGCAGCGAGACCTCATCTCTACAATAAATCAAAAAATCAGCCGGGCGTGGTAGCATATGCCTGTAGTTCCGGCTACTCGGAAGGCTGAGGCGGAAGGATCGCCGGAGCCCAGCAGGTCGAGGCTGCGGTGGCTGGGAGTGGCCACTGCACTCCAGTCTGGGCGACACAGCAAGACTCCAACTCAAAAATAAATAATAAAAAATAAATAAATAAAAGGACACACAGCCATACACTACTCACCAGCAAGAATAAGAAAGAGACCAGAGTCATAGCTGCACTCAAGAAGATGAGGTGGAAAATCACAGACAAAATTTATAGCAGGTGCAAAGGCTTTACCTCCATGAGAGAACCTGGTCTCTACAGGTGAGTTTTACAGGGAGTACAGGGGGCAGGAATTCATTGGTACTTGAGACGACATCCTCCAGCCATTTCAGAGGCCCCGCGAGCCCCTTGCCATGATCGCACAGCAATACAGAAAGGAAGACCACAGAGCGGTTTAACTTGCACACACACACAGGAAAGCCCTAATCAACGAGCAAACCCTGATCCTGCACTGTGCCGTGAAGACATCTCTTCCTTGAGCTGTGAGGCCAGACCCGATGCCCGCCTTGGCACTCTACCTCCTTGTTCCTCCCCGCAGATCCCCGGGTGCCAGTCGCGCCTCACCCCTGGCAGGCGCCAAGTGGGGCCCTTGGCGCCGGATGCAGCTCGGGGAGCAGTCACACCACAGCACTCACCCCGGCCGCGGGACTTGGCCGCCGGCTTTACGATCCAGATGTTGTGCAGCCCGTCAATCTCCGTCTGCGGGTTCACAGCCGAGATCTTGCTCAGCAGGGCCTGGCACTGCTGGAAGTAGCTCTTCGAGTTGGAGATGAAAGCGTCACCGCTGCGGAGCGAGACCAGAGAGGGCTAATGCCTGCGGTGGTGGCACCCTGCCCACCCAGCGGGCCCACCTGGTGGGAAGGGGCGGTGCCGGCCCAGGACGCCACCCTGAGGAACACCGGGGAACACGACCGCGAGGCGGCTCCTCACAGGCCCACGTCAGGACAATGGGGATGCCAGTCTGTGAGTCTGGACTGGCACGTGCATCCCGAGGAGCTCCTCGTGAACCCTGAGACACGTGGGAGCTGCGCCCCAGTGCCTCTGTGGCTGGTGCACCTGGGATGCCTGGCAGAAAGCGGCCTGCCAGTGCCGGCTCACGTCCTGCAGCGGGGAGTCAATCCGACTCTGCTGATGGCTGCAAGGGTCATGACGGCCACGGGCCTGACTGGAGAAGCCGCCATAGTCACAGGGCGTAAGAGGGGGTTGCGAGGACTGTTTGAGCTGCTCTTGTCTGGGAGTGCACTCCTGCTGCCAGAGGGGGTGGGGCTGCCCACAGCCACCTCCAGGCCATGGGGCTCTCCACACAAGCCCCACACCACAAGGAGGAAGATGCTGGCGTGGGCCTGGCTGTTCCCCGAGGGGGGAGGCCAGCCGGGCCCGGGACTGGCTGGCGGTCTCTGATGGCCAGGGTTGGGGGAGGGGCGCAAAGCCTCTGGGGATGGCTGTATTCCAAGCACCCCCGTGGGGAGACGGGGCGGGAGCCAGGTGGTCTCAGGCATACTCAGCCCATGTCTCACTCGTCAAAGAGATCCTGTCGGACGGTGCACGGCCAGGCTTCCTGGCCCTGGCCCTGCCAGGGACCTGGTGAGCCCCACAAAGTCAGGCCTGACCAGCCCCGCGGCCCTCAGGGCTCCCGGAGATCCCCACAGGCAGCACCCTGGACACCTGCCCTCCTGATGGGATCCAGACAGGCTGCCAGGACACGCCAGGCTGGGGGGCTGCCCCTTGTGGCCATTCTGGGAGGAAAATGCTGTGGAGTGCATCGCGCCGGCCTGGAAACACGAGACTGGATAGCCCTTCCCTGTCTGTGGTCTCAAGTCAGTGCAGGCCTGAGACACAGACACACCAGCTCCTCCCGACGCTTCCAATCCACTGCCAGTCACCATGCCGACCCTGCCACTGCCAGGTTGCCACGGTGACCCCCGTCACCACTAAGTTACCACCACAGCCACCACCACCCAGCTGACACCTGCCACCACCCAGTAACCATGCCAACCTCCGCGGCCACCCAGCTGCCACGCCAACATGTGCCACTACCCAGCTGCCACACCACCCCCGCCACCCCCCAGCCACCATGGTGCCCCCCCACCCAGTCGCCACGCCGACTCCCGCCACCGCCCAGCCGCCACACTGACACCTGCCACCACCCCAGTTACCATGCCAACCCTCGCCACCACCCAGCTGCTATGCTGACACCTGCAGGGATTTTGACTCAATTACATTGAACTATAGCTCAGCCTGGGAAAAATAAACATCTTTACACCGTTGAGTCTTCTAATTCATCAGCATGATCTTCTACACATGCACATACGCATAAGTAGAGATATATTTAGTATCTCTTACTTGTGTTGTTTTCAGGATAGGGTCTTGAGTGTATTTTGCTACTTATTTCTAGATACTTGTTGCTATTGTCAATTGTGGTTTTAGAATTTCATTTAGCTACTGTTGCTAGTACATAGAAATACCATGGGTTTTTGAATATTAACCTTGCACCTAGTGACCCTGCTAAACCCACTTAATTCCAGTACTTTATAATTTCTTAAAATATTCTATGTGTACAATCACGTCATTTGCAAATAAAGAGTTTTATTTCTTCCCTTTTGACCTTTTATTTTTCCTGTACTATTAAATTAGACAGACTGTTCGGTCAATGTTGAACAGAAGTCTGATGGTGAACGTTTTTGTCTCATTCTGACATCGAGGGGAACACTTTCAGTAATATATGGCCACTAAGAAATATGTTGGCTGTTGGATCAGTATAACTAAACTTTATCAAATTAAGAAAGTTTGTTTCACTTCCTAGTTTGTTAAAAATCTAACATGGACAGGCAAAAAAATTTTTATCATTTTTTTTGTATCTATTGAGATGAACTTATAGCTTTTCTATTTTATTCTGAAGATGTAATAGAATTCACTGATTGATTTTTGGGTGTTAAACTAACCCTGCATTCCTGGAACATAGCTTGTTTGGTTATGTCACATTATTTCATTCGCATATCACTGGTTCAGTTAGACAATATTTTGGGCTAGGATTTCACAAATATACACCGGGTGGAGGCATAAGTTCATGGTGTTTCTCGCTTGCCCATGGAGCACGAATGTCACACGATGGTTGGCTGGTCACGGTTCACCACCTCTGCCAACTCTTGGGTTGACTGACGTGGGCCACCAAAGTCCGACGGTCTTCCCGAACAAGGGGAATCCCTCAGGTAAAGCAGCCCTCTGAAACGCCAAGACCGTTTTCTTGCCACTCTCCCCACACATGGCACAGATGTCTCGAGCTGCCTCCGCTGCCTTTTCTCTGTTAAACGGAAGGATATGTTGGAAACGCTCATTTTCTTCCACTTGACACTCCTTCTTTAGCCCACAAACAGCACTGACTTTCTTCAAATCTGCAAAATGCTGGGCACATTCACAAGCACAACATCATCTCTCCAAATGACACAATATCATGCAGTGTTGCCGTGATACAAAATAAATGCTAAGAACTTATGCATCAGCCTAATATGTTCATGGGAAACATTTGCCTATAATCTTTTTTGGTAATATGCCCTTTTCAAGTTTTGATATCAAGGTTTTTCTGGTCTGATCAAATCATTAGAAAGAGTTTCCTCCTCTATTACTTGAAAGCTGTATATCATTGGAATTAATTTTTAATTAAATGTTTAGAAATATTTACCAGTGGCTGTGGGGGGGGGAGAAATATTTACCAGTGAAGCCATTATGGGCTTAGATTCTCCTTTGTAGGAAAGTCTTAAAAGCTGCAGACTTAATTTCTTTAACAAATATAGAGTATTCAAAATTTCTATTTCATTTTTGAATCTGTTTCAATAAACTGTTTTCCAGAATTTATCCGTTTCTTCTTGACTGCCAACATTACTGGCATGGTGTTGTTTATCACAGTCTTTCGTTATCTTTTTAATATCCTTGGACTCTGTACTGATGTTCCCTCTCTATTTCTGATGTTGGTAAATTGTGCTTTTTTCCTTCCGATCAGATTTGGTAGTGATTTATCCATTTTATTTTATTCTTTATTTTGGAAAAATGTCTTTTAATTTGAAAATTAAAAAGCACACAGAAAAAGATAGTATAATAAACATGCTATCCACCCTCCATAATGAACAAGTGTTATCACTGTTGCACTTCAGGTTTTTAAACAAAACGTGAGAAATGACGGGGTCTCTGCACTACCCCACCCCCCCATTCCCTCCTGTCTTCCAAGGCTTCATGCTTGTTCTCAGGCATTTAGTCCACGCTGAGCTCTGGTATATTCAGACATGTCTGCAAATGGTATACGGAATTATTTCACGTGTTTTAAAAAATGGTCTACCATTGTTTTCAGCACCGATCCATATTCCTGTCATGGCTGCAGCTGATTCAATCACCAGATGATATTCCATCATGAAGATATATCACCAGGGCGACTCCATGTCCAGACACAGGTGACCCTTCCGCCTTAGCCCTCCAAGTAGCTGGAACTACAGGCATGTACCACCATGCCCGGCTAATTTTTGGTTTATTGTAGAGACGTGGTCTCACCAGGTTGCCCAGGCTGGTCTAGAACCCATGGGCTCAGGCAGTCCTCTCACCTCAACCTCCCAAAGTGCTGGGATTGTAGACATGGGCCACCGCGCCCGGCCTCCTCTTATATTTTTTATTTTCATCATTCTACTTAATTTTGGAATTAATTTTATGTTCTTTTTCTAGTTTGAGAGGAAACTATATTTTCATTCAAAACTGGTTTTCAGCCTTTATTATTTTCTGAAGTACTTTAAGGAATACAATAAGCACTGCTTAGCTGAACTGCACAGGCTTTAATATCTTTAAGTTAAATTCAGTAAAATTTTTTCTAATTTCCACTTTCATATCCTCTTTGGCCCAGGAGTTATTTTAAAGTATGTTACTCGATTTCTAAACATTTAGGGATTTTATGTTTCTGTTTATCTTTCTGTTGCTGATTTCTAGTTTAATTCCATTTTTGTAAGAGCCCATATTGTTCATGATTTCACCCCTCTGAAATTCATTAACACTTTATTTAGAGATTTCCATGTGCCCTGGACAACATGTGCATTCCTTAGTTACTGGATTGAGTGTTCTAGACCTGTCAGTGAGGCCACATTAGTTAGTAGTGTTATTTAAAGCTTCCATATATTCACTGATTTTTTAAAATTAGCTTGTTCTATCAGGAACTGAGAAAGGTATGCTAAAAACCCCACTATGAGTGTCAATTTGTCAATTTTCTTTAGTTTTGCCAATATTTTCTTCCATATATGTTGGTGCTATTTTCTTTTCTTTTTTTGTTTGTTTGTTTTTGGTTTTTTGAGTTGGAGTCTCACTCTGTCGCCCAGACTGGAGTGCAGTGGCATGCTTCCAGCCACCGCAGCCTCGACCTGCTGGCCTCCGGCAATCCTTCCACCTCAGCCTTCCAAGTAGCTAGAACTACAGGCGCACGCTACCACGCCCGGCTAATTTTTATTTTATTTTGTTGTAGAGATGAGGTTTCACCAAGTTGCCCAGGCAGGTCTCGAACCCGCGAGCTCAGGCAATTCACTCACCTCAGCCTCCCAAAGCGCTGAGATTACAGGCTGAGCCACCGAGCCCAGTGGTGCTATTTTCATAATGGCATGTAAACTTACTTAGGCTTACTAACATTTTTAGTATTATTATCAAATGTCTGTCTTTATATTTAGTCACATTTCTTGCTTAAAGACTACTTTCTCTGACAATACAGTCATACCCACTTCTTTTTCTCATTATTTCATGATCAATCTTCTTTTTAACTTT